GTATCTAGCATAGCATAAGCCGGGTCATACCGACAGTGAAATCCTGTCTGCCTTCGCCTAGAAGACTGCAACAAAGATGGAAACAAAGGAATACAACATTGCACGGCCGACCAGAAGTATCTGGTCGAGCGTTCGCGCCCAGCCCGCAGTTGTGAGTTCGAACCCAGTTTGCAGCCTGGAATCCCGTCATTCTCGCGACCATCAGCGTGAGAAAATGTTGCACTTACGGATTCATTGGAGAGTACGTTGATAACGCATATGATTGTTTTGTTATGTACTTGACGTTCCTTCAATTGCCGATTTTCGAGTTCTGCGCCATTGCGCCTCAGGTTATTAAAGGGATTGCAATTCATTGTCTGACTTGCTCACTAATTTCAGACACGGAAACATTGAAAGGTGAAGGGTGTTGTGCAATTACTCAGTGCAACACAGATGCCTAAGAATCTACAATCCGAGTTGCAAAAAAAAAACATCGCGAGAAAAGGTGCTGAGCTTGATACGATGCAAGCAAGAACAGAATTTACAGCCTGAAGCCGGCTTAATGCTTCTAAAAGCATTGGGTCTAGAACGGTGTTTCTGCGCGCTAATTGGAGGGTGGGCATCTAACAGCCTGCAGCTCACATGATCTTTGAATCCGAGTATCTCCTGGGAATGCTCTGCTTGGGAAGAGACAGCAAACTTCTCAGCGAATTACAGCGGCGAAGGAAAGCCGAGCTGAAATATTGGTTCACGGTTACCAACGGATGATCTAGGGATGGTTTGTTTGGATGGAAACATTGCACTTATCAATCATCTTGGCTTGAACAGCGTTCACATCAGAAACACTCTCCGTTATTTGTACGTGCTAAGTGTACATAACGTGACACCACAAATTTTGTGCTTATAGGATATTTAAATCTAGTCTATGCTCCTAGGACGTAAATTTTTCGCGTTATCGCAAAAAGCCTTACGGATGTATGCATGGTGCAGCCATGGTATTCTGTTTTTTACGTGGAGTTAAACTTTTCGGAACGTTTGTTAATGCAGAGAGAATGAGTTATCAGCATAAACTTTTCCTGCCAAATTGAAAACATAGCGAGAGTGCCTCAGGTTAGGTACGTCTCCTCGTTTTGGTGCGGAAGTACCATCCAATGGAAGATAGGCTTTACTATGCAGTTCAATCAAATATGGAGCCGTAAACGGGAGAACCGTTGTACGTTTGTCACTATTATATAGACCTATATATACATATATGTATATATATATATATATATATATATATATATATATATTTATATATATGTCAGATCTATATATCTAATTTAGGCAAAGATCTAACTTAGGAAAAATTTGCCAAGTTTCCAAACTAACGAACATAGCTCATTAAAAAACCTGCAAGCTTCTTAGCAGCGGCAAACAGGACATCATAAGCCAGTTTGGATGCTTACCCTGAGTCTTAATATAACCAAAGTATGCCAAATTGACTATGTCAGTTGATGTTTTTTAGTGCTCTTAGCAATACAGCTACATTAATTACTTGTTTCTGGCCCTGGCACATGCGCGTTATGAGCTGCATTCCCCAGCTACCAGGTAAGAGATATCTTCTCTTTGCCGCGCTATTTAAAAAAACCGCCAATACACTAGTCCTCTGGAGTTCATGCCCCGCGCATCTGTGACAGCTGTAGCTAGCTGTTCTGATCATCTGTGATAGCTGCAGCCTGCTATCCTGATTGTTTGCATCGATCAAATGGTGAATGGTTGCGCGTTTTAGGCTTGCTGAATTTTTCCCCAAAGTTCGATACGGGCCCATCCAATTTTTTCATTGCAATGGCCTTCATCATTTTTCAAAAATACATTTCAATGCTGTTTTTCAGTGCGTTTAAGCCTGTCCCTGGCGTACATCTTTCCGCCCTTCAATGATAAATCGCCTGCGCTGAGTGCAGGTAGATGCCGTTAGGTTTCGTTAGTCTTTGGCGAATTTTAACGTCCAGAAATAGGCCAATGATTAGAACTATTTTTATCTGTGCAAAATGTCAGCTCCACGATTGGTTGGCATTCAATGTATTTCTAGATTTGCAATTTTTTACATTGATATTGCAGTCCCGCGAGATCGTGGTCTAGGAGGATAAATAAGGCTACTGGCTCTGAGAAGGCGTTTTAAAAAAATTGCATGCCATGGCGGATCAGAATTTTAACTTTGCTAGAGTGTGGGGTGGGTTTCCATGATCTCAAGAAGCGGTAGCGATACGACGCCTTCTAATAAACTATCCAATGGTTCATAGCGTTTACCAGGTTCTGTGCAAAGGCTGTAAGGGTTCAGAGGCATAGGCCATCCCATGTGGATATTTGAATACCGACAGATTTATACCGAAGTACCATCTAACTCCAACTTGCCAAAATTCCCATATTACGCTCCGAACCCATACTCCGCGTTCAGGCCAGTGTTCAGCGTTGCCGACTTGGACGTACTAGGATATAGACTGTTCCGCTGGACCTAGACGGTATGCGGCACAGTCTACCAGGATGGCGTCCGCTCGCCGCCGCGGCGCGCCGCTGTGCCAGGCACCAGCCCATCGGCCGTTTGCGACACGCTGCTCTCGGTTAGCTGGAAAGATGACCCTGGCCTTGAGGTGCTGTATCAGCTGCTTATGCTCATGTAAACGTATTTACAGATCAAAAGCGCATGGGTGGTTATACCATTTCTGGGCTATTTACAATGACAATTACAAACGGGTTGCTTGTTGAGCGCACAACTTGAACATCCCCAGGCATTTCAGATTAATCTATGGATTGGACTACACAGGACACGACAGGGATTCTAAAACAAAATTATCCGGGCCGTATTGGATAAAAAACTTGTCAGTCGAACTGGACTGAAGGGACCAAAAACTGAATTTCATGTATGAAGTAGCACATGTCCCAAGCGCCTATTGTTAAAATTTCACGTTAACTTGGCTTTAAATATTGTACAGTCGTACTGGTATGAACTGTCTCGAGAATCTTTCTTTTCTCTGAAGAATTCGACCGGATCATAATTGGAGTTCGTGAAGAGGCGGATTCGCGGCGGGTTGGATTCAAGCCTGGCGAATTGTGCCGCTGCACGAATATTTGCAGACAACGCACAAAAAAGCAAAAACAAAAAAGCTACGTTGTACCGGGCTGGATAGCAACAAATTCAAACTAGCATAGCCTTTTTAATAGCAGAGTTTACAGAAAATAAGAAACCAAGTGGTGTCTCCAGAGCCAATGACCCGCGACAACTCACCGAGCCATCTCAAACCTCCACTCGCCTTCGAGCTCTGCCTTCATACATCATGCGGCTGCCTACAGAGCAGCGGTGCAATCAGAGGGTCATACGGGTCGTATTTTGCGACACTGCAAATCTGCAAAATCAAAATAATGCCAGATTCAACGATACCTAATCGCAGCAGTACTTTTCTCGATTCTGTCAGCTACTAAATCAGTCATTGGTCACGTGGCACGACAAAAGCCGACATCTTTTCGCGACCTTTAACTTATCATAGCTCTGCACGGACTCGGTCACAAAATTCTTGCTACTCGGTGTCAACGCTTAAAACTATTGCAAAGTTTTCAAAAACAGGCTCGCGGAGTTCCCGGTCAATACATAACCAAAATATAAAAGATCTACGTCGATAGAAAGTGTGCTCCACTTCATAGATCGGTGAGCGGATGAGGTTTCTTTAATACATCGCAAATATCTGCTTTGATCATGGCGTTACTTTGCCTCTTATCACATGGAATAAACACTCACTTCATAATGAGGCAATTCCGAGCTTTCCTACAAGTTGTACACCCACAGTCAATGCCTGGGTCAAGCGAAATTATTTTCAAGAGTATTGTACGAAATATAAGAGTCAGAAAAAATAGACGTAACACGAGCAGATTATTGCAAGTAGTGGAAGATATAGCTAAAGGGGTTCCAGCACGTGCAAGCTGTCAGAAAGATTTGGCTTAAGATGGCTCTTACCATCCAGTTATAAGTTTTACGGCACATGTACAACCGAGGTATCTTACTTTGGAAGGGACCAATCATAATTTTGGAGGACAACTAGTGGGCGGCAGCTACGTACCCTTTTATCTATCTTCCGTCAATTTGAGTGTCTTTTGATGCTTTCTGGAGCCTTAAAAATCAGGAGGAATTCTGTCACATGCGTTTTAAGGTTTGTGGACCCTGCCATTCTGGGCCCGTGACATTCACGCAATTGCAACTTCATCACTATATCGTGTAGTGATCAAGTAGTAACTGCGAACCCTCCAAGCGTTCTTAATTCACAGTCCTTGTCTATGCCCGAGGACTCACTTCTGCCCAGGACAAACAAGGCTGACGTACCTCCCCTTGTATGCATTTCTTCTTGGAGCCGCAGGGGAATGGCGCAAATCAACTGGTCTACTTTTTTGTTTGTTAAGTGCTATCTTGGTGAGCGTTGTTTTATCCCGTTTTTGTAAAGTGGCAACATGTCTCGGTTTTCCGACTAAATGAGGCCTTAGTAGTGTGAAATGTTTGAATGCACCATCCTAATTCTCAGGGTCAGGTAATTCTAAAATTAGCTGATATCGTTTAATGACAGCCGATTTTAAGGCTGTAATTGGCAGGACTTGCTTACAAGAAATTCTGTCACGCTGTCGTGACATCAATATGGGGCCATGCAATGACAACTTTGGTGCCTGGCAAGTGTGGTAATGAAGAGGTGCAGGGCCACCAGTCATGAATAGGCGGCTCACAGCTGGGAGACGAACCATGCGCTAGAAACTGTGGGCGACGTGTGGCCCGGAGCGGGGGAGATACCGCCAGCTGCCGTTAAGCTTTGTGGGCTGGACGCCCCTAGTCAGTGCTGTCCTACGGGCAGTGCGAGAGGGCCGCAGCTTCGCAGGCGAACACACCGTCATCCACCAGCTCAGCCGACGACCGGGCGCGGCACACAGGAGGTGAGCACAGAGCCAGCGCCGCAAGCGCCACAGCTCACCGGAGCTACCGACGGGAACAGGGAACACCGGCTCACCGGTTGGGACTGGACGGCGCGGATGAGACGGGCGAGCGTTCGGCATCGTCGCTGGTGGACGGCTTAAGCAGGTCGGCTGAGGCGGAGGGCGCCAGCGGCCCGGGCAGCACCGCCGCCTCGGTCTCCTCCGGAGGACAGCAGCTCAGCGGCGACTCACTGACCGAGAAGTCCTCCACCTGCCGGATACAGGAGGACAGCAGCTCAGCGGCGACTCACTGACCGAGAAGTCCTCCACCTGCCGGATACAGGAGGACAGCAGCTCAACGGCGGATCACTGACCGAGAAGTCCTCCACCTGCCGGATACAGGAGGACAGCAGCTCAACGGCGGATCACTGACCGAGAAGTCCTCCACCTGCCGGATACAGGAGGACAGCAGCTCAACGGCGGATCACTGACCGAGAAGTCCTCCACCTGCCGGATACAGGAGGACAGCAGCTCAGCGGCGACTCACTGACCGAGAAGTCCTCCACCTGCCGGATACAGGAGGACAGCAGCTCAACGGCGACTCACTGACCGAGAAGTCCTCCACCTGCCGGATACAGGAGGACAGCAGCTCAACGGCGACTCACTGACCGAGAAGTCCTCCACCTGCCGGATACAGGAGGACAGCAGCTCAACGGCGGATCACTGACCAAGAGGTCCTCCACCTGCAGGACACAAGAGGATAGCAGCTCAGCGGCGACTCACTGACCGAGAAGTCCTCCACCTGCCGGATACAGGAGGACAGCAGCTCAACGGCGGATCACTGACCAAGAGGTCCTCCACCTGCAGGACACAAGAGGATAGCAGCTCAGCGGCAGATCACTGAGAGAAAATATCCACCTGCCGGACACGAGAGGACAGCAGGTCAGCAGCAGATCACCGAGAGAAAAGTCCTCTACCTGCCGGACACAAGAGGACAGCAGCTCAGCGGGAGATCACTTACGGAGAAGTCCTCCCGATGGGACACAGAAAACAAGACGTCTGAAGACTTTATATCACTCCAGATAGACACTCTCAACACAGATGTTACTAATGGGACCGTAACGTCAACACGCGCCCGTGTGGCCGCTTGGATGCTCTTCGCTTGGGTGGGGGGTCAGTTTGACTCGCTCAGATATCAAGAACTAAGTAAGCTAAAAACACCAAATTCACAGAGTGCATTGGCCTGCACGTGACCTTACTTAGGTCAAAGTTTGATATTCCTAGATTGCAACCTTCAGGTCAAGTAAGGTCAAACAAGGTCAAACTTCAGGCTGGTTTCCAAAATTCCCCCAGAACCTTGATACCCGTTCTAAGTAAAAGGTCACATGCTCATTTTGAGGTCAGTGACCTTGTTTGACCTTAGGGAGGCTACGGTAACCAAGATCATACAAGACTGCTTTGATAAGACAGTAGTAATAGCCTTATGCCTTGGAAAAGGGGAGTGGAGGTATTGATGAGTTGGCATTGAACACAGAGCACAGGACCGAGCAGACAGGAAAAGAAGTGCATCTGTTCTTCTGAAAAGTCGGCGACCAAACCTTAACATACAGGGCTCATCATGGCCAATTATGCAAACGTGATATGTGCATTGACGTGTGATGTGTGCCAGCTTAAAATAGCTTACACGTGAAGTGATGCTTGGCGCGTGATGCGCGATGCCTGTTTTATTGAAATCGTTTCCATGTGTAATTGATGCGCGATGTGAGACGTCTATTTACTTCAACTCGCTTGCATGTTTGAATGAAGCGTGATGCGTGATGCCTGTTACTTGAGTTGGTTTGCTTGTACACGCATTTTTACGTATTCTAATTCTCAGGTATGCACCGTATCGTGGTAATGGCTGGCAATCGCTTTTTGTGTAATCCTCGGGATGTTGGTGTCCTGTAAAAACTGTGACTTGATGTTTCAACAAAACAAACTGAAACATCGATTAGGCTCATCGGCAGGCAGTTTTGAATTCACATCTGTTATTAATTCGATAAAGGCATGTTGCCGAAATATCAACCACTCTATCTCTCCATTTTCCTGTTTTTTTTTCTCCGAGGAATAAGGCTGTTGCTACTGTTATATATATATATATATATATATATATATATATATATATATATATATGAATAATGTTCCTCGCGAATGCACTTAACAACTTACGTAAGACTGCTTACGTAAGTTACAGTCTTTTGTAAACAGTGACAATTACTCCTTATTTAATCCTCTGTATGTTGGCGGCCTGTAAAAAACTGTGGCTCGCCGTGTTTAAAAAGAAACTGAAAACTGAGTAAGTTGTTCAGTGCATTTGCGAGAGATGTTATTCACCTAGATAATACAGTCGTAATAGTCTTGTTCCTCGGAGAAAAACCAGGAGGATAAAAATATAGACGGGTTAATACTTCGGCAACATGCCTTTATCGAAACAATAACAGAACTCTTCTGCTATTGTTCAGATAAGGACATGTTGCCGGAATATCAACTTATCTGTAGCCCCACTCTCCTGTTTTTTTTCTCCCAGGAATAGAGCTATTACTACTGTCTCATCCATATGCGTAATATCCTTCGTAAATACACTTAACAACCTACGTAAGACTGCTTTGAGTTCTGCACTTGAATGAACGACAAAGATTACGTTAGACGGTATGTTCATACAAAGAAAATGTTGGCCCGGGTCATTTTGGGTTAGTGACCTACTGTTACCTTTAAGAAGCCCATGCAATATGTGTAATGCGGTTTTATTATCAACAAATTCGAAATGAGGACCAGAAACCATCCCATAAAGCAGACCCTTGAGTAAAAAAGACAGATGATTGGGTTTGGCCTTGGTCTGACCTTTATAACTGAAAGCCAGGTCAATGGATTTTGCTCATTCAATTGTTGTATTGCCTAAAAAAGCATCTCAGTGATGTAGGGCTCCGTCTAACACTCCGTTGTTGCATCATGTTGAACGATTCCCTAGCAATTGGCTTCGCTGAATCCATAGCATGACTTGGACCTGCTGTAGGTCAGCGACCTCACAAGGTACATATAAATTTTTGACACCAAACGATCCACTATTGAACTGTCTACAGTTATACAAAGTGTACGCGGCTATGCCGCGTTGTTCGGAAACCATTCCGGAAAAACCTTCGGCGGGGGGAGGTTAAGTTGACCCCCACTCGTTAATGCATATCAGCCAAGGAACGCTTGTATTACTACAGAGCGAAGTATCACCTACCCAAGAGACAAACTGATAGCGAACACCCATGACGGTGATCATCCACTTCTATCACCTATTTTGTTCTTTATCAGCCACGGCCACATCATACCAAGATGAACGGTGTGGAAAGTGACGAGAAGCTCGTGCGGCGTCGCCTCCTTGCACCCTCCGAGCGCTGGAATTTCTGGCTGTTTCAAGCCGTTGCTTCTACTTAATTGCCGACGTGACGAAGGACGCTGCGGACTTCGCTAATTGTTTGATGCATTGTGTTCTACGCAACAGCGCAGGCTGTTTCTAGTAGAACTCTGAAGGAGTATTAGCAGAAGCTGGTATTACAGGACGTTGGCGCTCAGTTCTATCTGTTACGATTAAGAAGCATAGATTATTGAGCGGTACGTGGGATACATAGACCCGCGAATTGTTGAGTCTAGCGTCGCAGTAACATAAGCGGCGTGAAGAAGACCGACCCGACTCGACACGGATTGGAGCGAGCCACATTTGTCCATTCCGAGGCCCACGGGGTGCGACATTCAACACTCACAAGCCAGTGCTCGCCGCGAGCTCATCAAACCCCAGCTTTTTGCGGTGCCGGCAGGATGCGGGTTCATGGGATCCTGATGCATTTTGGCCGAATTCACGAGACCGACATAGCCGTTTAGAAGACCAAAGGCCCTACGAATGCGTGCAGTTGTCTATCAATTCTGCTTTTTGCACATACAAATGGACAAAATAATTCAAAAAAGTGTGTCAAAAGTTTTCAGTACGAGAGATATTTACAGTTATCATAATGGCATCCAATCATGGTTATTGTTTATTTCGCCTAATCACGCCACGTAGTTGTTTACAGTTTCGTCCTCAGCTTTTTAGTTGACGAATTCCTTGGCCAGTGTCTACGATGAGCCGCGCTTGTTGCGAGTTCTGACCACTCCACCCCATCGTGTAATTCCGGGTCAACGACGGAATTCGGCAGCAAAAGCTTTATGAGCCGCCATACTCCGCCGGTCCGTCCGCTAAGCGTGGCCACTGCCAGCCGCCGCAGGCCATCCCAGTCGAGCACCAATAGCAAGCACATCAGGCGTCTGGAGCCCACCCGCCAGGAGCGGTAAATCGGAACACGTTTGCCTCAACCAACTGAGCTTTCCTGATGGACAAAGTAATGTGACAAGGCAACAAACGCCTATGGCGTGGAACAATGCTAAGTTGCTACAACGTCGTTAAAACAAAACATTATTTAACGCGATCGAATCCTTGCTGGAATCTCTCTGCTGTCAACTCCTTGCCGGACTTCGAACCAAATTAAACCGGACCAAATTTGTTCAGAACAGTTGCACTGCATTGCTCTTGTTTTCCAAGTCTCGGCATTGGAAGACGTTGGTTGTCTTCATCTTCAAGGAGGGCACACGCCCTCTGGGACCGACTGTCAACCCTTAGTAGTCCTGTTCACATAGGGAATTGAAAATGTTGCGAGATCGGAACCAAAGCTGGCCTGCTGTAAGTTTTCGTGCATCTACGGTGCTGGTAACGTGGCGCTCTTGAGTCAAGCTGTACAACGTTTTATTATCGCACTGAAGTACCTATAGTCAAAAACGTTACCTGCTTTCTTGGAAACCCATGTCGATTTATGTTCTCAGCTACAACTTAACTAGGACACACCACAATATTGGCAACAGCAACAAAGGAATAGCCGACGTTACCCTAAACGTGGTGCTCTTGCTGCTTAAGCCTCGTGCATACGCAGCTTCCAGAAACCTCCTGGCAGCTGAAACCAAACCTGACTGATCAGCGAAGAGCTCTTTTTCGAAGATCGAGATCTATAAAATGACCATGTGGCAGCGAGGCCGTTCATCCCGAGACGGCTAGGCTACCATATGGAATATGGTAGCTTGGATCGAGTATGTATTCCCCATACATAGCAATACAGTTCAATATGTTTAAGTTATTGCAGTCAGCTGCATAGCCTGGTTGCAAAATGAAGAGCACAAATGCACTCTTACCACACATTTGGATAATTTTTAACAATTCCGCAACAGAACAACCTAGATCGCCATCACTGGCACACTTTTGTTCCAATCTCGCAACCATTTATTTTCCAATGTAAATAGGGCTACTGCCACTAGTCTTTCCTGCAGAACGTATAGACTGGCCAGAGACGGATCCAGCGCCAAACTTTGAAGGGATCCAAAATCTGAAGGCGACGCCAAACTCCCGAGTACTAAGCCTAAGAAGGGACAACGTATGCTTTGTCACTTTATTGAGTGCATAGTTCCAGACATCTGTCACCTTTCATGCGCAACTGCACCGACCCATCCCCACTCACCAAACAGGGGTCGGTCCGGAAAATTGCAAGGCGTTGGTCACATTCTTTGGATGGGTCACCACAACACGCTTGGAACGTGTTAACATGACAGCACATAGCCCGCCCATCAATTCAACCGCACACGTCGTTGTTAGGAATAAATGACGTAACCCTTTTGCTGGAGAAACATAAATGACTATAGTTAAGCATTAGCGGTCGTTTCCTGACATGCCCCTATGCATTACACAACGCCTCAAATTCTCCCCCCCCCCCCCGATTTTTCGAGACAAGCGTTAAATCGGCGCAGATTGCGAGGCCGACATGCGCACGCTAAGATGCGCTATGGTCGGTGCGAACTCAAACCCCAATCCTCATCCTCATCAGGAACACTATGGCTTCTTCCTCGTACTTAGACTTGATTTGTGAGATACGCCACAATTCTCCAGATGTTTACACAATTGTAGGGTCACATTTGTTCTCAAGTTCTGATAACAAGACCGTGCCGCGAGGTTTTTCCGTGTCGGCCCAGCATCACGCTGGCCTTCTGAGTCATGTCCGCGTAGTGAACAGGTGACGAACGGACCTTTCCATTGACTGAAAAACAGATCGCTAAATGGCCCTGCACCCTGCAAACTGGAAAAACCGAGAAACCGGGAATCTAGAAACCAAAATGGCATGCTGTTTTATTCTAACGCAGCCACAATTAAGATCAACGCACTTCCTCCATTTTGGCACGAGCCATTTGCAGTACCACGTACTTGGGCAGGGCAGTTAGGGAAAACTCTTAGGACTTGTCGACCACCTGTTCAGTGCAGAAGCAATGGCCCCTTGACGGTTGATAGTAGAGAACATAAAAGTCACGCGGTAAGCATGTCAAGTGGGCTAGCGCCTCCCAGCTTTGGTCCGCTGTCTTCTCTAACATCGTCTCTTTATTCAGGGCCTTGAAGGCTGTGCTAGTGCGGGACTGACTCATTTGGCATCCAGCGGAGCACACTTATTGATCACCGAGCGGACCTTGGTCAGGCCGGCGAGGTATTTGCCTCTTGAGGCTCCTTGTCCAATCAGCAGCCACTCGCTTAAAGAGGACGCCCTCGTGATCAAAGAATGTGGCGTGCATGGCCTTCGAAGTAGGCCATGTATTCAGCCATTCTCATGTTAGGGTAATCGGGCCCCTCCGTTTTTTGGCCGAAACAAAATTTGCCACGCTTAACAACAATACATTGATGCGATGAAATGACAGCATGCGAATGCGTACGGCATCTAGTCCCAGAGTTGCACCTCCACACAGCGAGCTTTCCTTCTAACAAAAACGTTACCGAAAAAAAACGCCCGAAACGCTGACGAGCCAGGATCCAGGATGGCAATAAGGTAAATCACATGACCTTAGGTTAAGTCACATAAGAGCTATATAACAAACATCAAACAACTGTTCAACGAGCCAGAGAGTTTAGAAAAGGGGAAAAGGAAGCAAAGGCCCCAAGATCAATAAAAACATAAGGTCATCAGACCATTAGTCCATGTCTCCAAAACGGTTACGATCTACACATACCTTGGTTGAACACTGCTGCCATTCTTCAGGCGTGTACAAAATCAAAGTGAGCGGCAACAGAGACCAAATGTCCGACAACCCAGCATGCTCGGCTAGTGTGCGATTCTCCTATCATCATGTAACACACATTCGAAAGTTTGGCATGGGAAAGAGAGGCAACTCAGATGGGTCATATGGTTGGTAAAGTCTCACGAATCAATCGACAGCAAAGCTCTGACGAACTGCAAGGATATTTCATGTTCAGCAAGATATATTAACTGGCTGGAGGGTACATTTTTCACATAGCAGGGTTCAGCCGTCGGACGGCAAGGTTCACCGCCAACGGCAGTGTTAAACCAACAGTGCTGTTGATTGAACACTGCCGTCGGACGCGCTCTTTCGGAACAAATAGTTTGGAAGGTAATTATTGAATCCGGCGAAATAAAACCGGATAGCAAAGAATAACGGCCACATATGGCAAAGTATGCGAGAGCAAAATATATGTACAGAGGCCGTTGGACCACACTCTGTAGCATCCACACAATAACACAGTATAGTGATAGACATCGGAAAAAAGGTGATGTGGCAGCTCCAGGCTGATCAGCATCAATGGCTCGTCGATGCGCCGGAATGCAGTGAGTAGAACATGTAAAAATTAGGGTGGATTTTCCTGCCCGTTCGTCATCAGTCCCAACTGAGTCATATTTTACAAATTTGGAAAGTTGTTAAGCATTCACTCGTATTTAAGAGCCGGGAGCAAAGCCTCCATGACGTCGAGACAGCCACCGAGAAGCGATGTAAAATGTCCCAAGAGCGTATTGGCAGCATCTGACGGCCAACCACTGTGCGGAACAGTTGGCTTTACCAACCTTTTAATTTGAACTCTCAAAATAGTTTCGCTGGAAGGGAAAAGCCAAGGAGTAAAAACATAGAACCAAAAGCTGTAAGAATGCCAATATATCCCGGCCTTTAGCGATAAGCTGATATACAACGTTCTGATCTAAATGAAGGCTGGCAGCACGACACAAGTTAATACACATCATTGGGCACGGAGCCTCACATAATCGTACAGTTTCTCAGCCTCAAATCGTCGATACCGATCTCAATTTCATCATGGTCAGCGCAGTCCAGCACATCTGAAGAATAGCTGGTGATACATTCCGAATGAAAGTGCTCTGATGCTTCAGTGCTAGAACACGTCTCGACCGTCCCCGCTAGTCCATCCCAGAGGAAATTGATGCCAGTTGGACCCGTTCCATGCTGCGTGATAGAGCATATTCCTGCTCGCGGACCTGTACCAATCAAAAACGAAGCTCACACCTGAAAGTCAAGAGCGCCGTGAGTATTCCAGCTCCTGTGTCATGCGGCAGATGCATCATGCTCTGATAGTCTCGGTGCTCTGCTCTGGCGACTGGACAGAGCCGGCCAGTCACCTTTTTTTCATCTTGCATCTGTGAATAAATTAGGATCGTAGAACCGTGTGGTTGGCAATGACGATTCTGACTAAATTATCTTCCGATTACTCATATAATGTGCAGCAATATTACTATGTCCGCACAACTGATTTGCCCGCAATCGACAATAATTGCGTTATTTTATCAGACGTATGCAACAACAAAACAAAAAAAAAAACAAGGAAACCCCAAGGAGCAAAGGTCATTGTACTTCCACTGCACCATACCTCTTCCTTTGTTGCTCCTTGAGATTTCTCTAAAATAGCTCGTCAATCTGTTTGAGTCTGAAAGTGCAAGAAATCATGGATTGCCTGGTTCGTAACATGCTGGCACAATGCGCTAGCGAGTAGAAAAGCTAACGGGTCTATCGGTCAACCAATCTGTGGGTCAACTTGTGCGTAATTCAGTTGGTCAAATATACGAACGAACGTAAATAAGACACAAAGTCTTGAAAATTACAGTCGCTAATGATGAGTAAAATCAATAATCGAACGCTCGCCCAGCAAGACGGGGATGAGTCACATACTTCAATTGTCGGCGAAACCCTTCTTAAATATCTCCAGGTGCCTCCGAGACCAGAAGCTGCTAAGCCGGGGCTCTATTAGTTATTCACAGGTTTCCAAGTTCCGAAGTTCACGATTCCGCCAGCCCAGCTTGCGGTCTCGAAAGCCAGGCAGCATCGGCTGTCTGCGGAATGAGCCCGCTAAGACGAGTCTGCGGGAAGAACCCACTAAGATACGTCTGCGGGGACAAGCCCGCTAAGATACGTCTGCGGAACGAGTCCGCTAAGACGCGTCCAACCATCACCTGGCTCCCGCTGATGATGCTGAGCATGGAGCGCTTCTCATTCGGCGCAGATCCGCCCCGGTCACGGATCCGACACGGCGGCCGGAACAACGACGGAAACCGGTACATGGTGGCGGGCGGTCCCTCCACACCACACGCGCGCGCTCACCGCACGCGGGACGCGACCGCCGCCCGCTGCAGGTCACACACCAGGCGGACCGCTGTCCTACTTCCCTACACTGGACACAAGGTCATCCGGACTCCCTTCTGCCACGCCGGGCCGCCCTTCCACAGCTCCGACCGCCACACCAGGCCGTTCGTCCACAGCTCTGACCGACACAACAACGCTGCGCGTCCACAGCTCTGACTGCCACACCAGGGCCGTCCCTCTACCACCCTGGTGGCACGGCGGCGCCGACGGGCCTAGGCCGCGCGCGCCGTCGGAACATTCAAATCAGCGGTCCGTCGGTGCCGGCGTCGACGGCATCCAGCATGCTAGGCGCGTGCCCCAGCGTCCTCGATAATTTGGGACGTTCGGGTCATCGCGTAGGAGCAGCGGCTCCACAGATGTTTAAGAAGCATTTGGCATCCGTCGACGAACGAGGGAAAGGGAGGAGGCTAAATCCTCCTTGCCGCAAGTTATCTCATCCGCCATTTGCTGGAGGCTGTGGGAGCGACAGGGCGGCTTCTGGCACTTTGCTTTACTGTAATCCTGGTACCCCTAGGCCAGCAATCATATTTTACATGTACCTTGAAAATACAGCTTACTGCCCACGACGCCAGGCGTCAGAAATCGACCGGTCCAGATTATCCCACGTCAGATTAAGCTAAGCCTTATGATTATTCTTCGGCTGACAAGTTATGAATGCCTAGCTCGTTTAGTGTACTTGCGTGATCCCATCAAAGTACAATTTGCTTATGAGCAACGGTGTGGGCCATGAGGGTGAAGCCGTGATGATTTAGTGATGAGTGCACGTCATTCTGGATCACGTCACTACACAGATTGGCTCAATCAATGTCATTACACAGATTGACCCAGCCAATGTCACTTCACAGATTAGTTCTGGTAGTTGATCGGATTTCCTAGGTTCCGTCGTGTTCATGCCCGCTGCCGCGAATATTTGCTTGCTGCTTGCCACAGTTTCTGTCACGAGTTCATGCCGCTTTAGGTGAAGTCCAAATGGCACCACACGATTAGACTTTGGAAGTGTCCCTCTCTTTTGATTTTCCTGTTCTGCGTTTAAGCATGATAACCTGTGAACGCAGCTTGCGGTTGAGTCACAGTATGGTTTTTTAGATTTGCAGTGGGCTAATGTAAATTACAGGTGAATGTTCGCTAAGCTAACACGCAATTCAATCGCTATCCAGTTTGAACATCGTGTAAGAGAGGCGCTTTATGAAGAGCTCACAGACTAAACGACACGTTATGAACTACTCACAAATCTGCTCACTAAATGATACGTCAATGAGGTCAACTAATGTGGAGCTAGTTTGTCGTTTGGTCAGCGCGACCGGTTAAATGGCACCAAATTTTCCAGGCATGCAGTTAAACGCTCTTCTCCCAGCGAGTGGAAGGCGGAAAATGCCCGAGGAATTGCCAATATGTCGGGCTACATGTTACCTGTTCGGGGCGCTGAAGTTTGAGCCTTTGAAAAAAGGTGAATTTAGATGTGCCAATCAGGAGTGATGTATACCACCAATACGGAATACTGGTGTGCCGATAGATGGCAAAACATCTGTGGGTGTTACCTGATATTCTATATGGGCTTATAAATCGAACGTGTAATATAACTTGCTGTTTTGGGGCAAATAAACGTATCATATTATGTAGTGCACTACATTTTCAAATTTTCCTTGTGAGTTTCAAAAATATCTGAGAAAATATGGATCTCGAAAGACACCTCCAATCAGAAAGAAACCTGCAAAATTGACCGGGCAGCTTTTAAGATCGCAACGGAGGGCAGGCTGACCACTAGTTAAAATTCAGCGACTTAAGGATAGGATTCAGGGTTGCGCAAGTATTCAAACAGTGTTGGCCGTCACACTGCATTCCAATTCACAAACAGCACTGTTCTCTCTGAAATATTAGCTTTGATCGATCAAGGCAGATAAATACCTCCCTGTTCAAACACGTTTCGTTTAGAAAGAAAGTACTGGGGAGGTATGGGATTAGCAAAATAAGCTGTCAAATATGTCCAAACTACAGGAGTCGGGAAGAGTTAGGTCAGTCAGGAAAATCTTCGTTTACAGCAACTTCATTGGATATTTTGTTTGTACCTTGTCTCTTTTTAAGGTACGAAATCTGACAACTGTATTCTTCAGAGTATGGTTCTGACTTGGTAATTGATTAATGATTTGGTAATGCGAAATCAGCACGACAATGCCCACACACCAGAGTGATGTACGACGTTTCGGCAGCATGAATAAATGTAATTAGTGCTAAAGGCTGAAAGGCAAGCTGCCGCGGTGCACCGGACGGCACCACAGGTCAGCAGGAGAATGTGACACGCTGCAGAACAGCTGCCAGCCGGCGACAGCCGGGGGCGTTGCAGTACGGGCGACACCGCAGGTAGCACCGGCGACAGCCGGGGGCGTTGCGGTACGGGCGACACCGCAGGCAGCACCGGCG